GTGGTTATTATTATAAGGTAGTTAGAGATGGATTTATAATGTTAAGTGATGAAAATGGATGTTACTGTCTATGTAATGAGTGACATTATATGGATTTTAGAAAGGTAAAAGGAAATGCAGAATCGAAGAAGAGAAAAGATAGAAATGGATTAAAGATATTGGTTGGGGTTTAAATGATAAGTGACAGTAGATAAATGTATAGAGGAAAAAGATAGTTGAAGAAATAAATGAAGGAAATATTAAGTCATGGAAGTAGCATGAGAACAATAGAAGATATGTTCTTATTAATATGTTCAGTGAAAATTCGAGGATGAATTTTCTTTAAAGGATGGGAGATTTGTAACATCCTCAATACCGGGTTAGTGATCAAATTGTAAAGTTTTAGAATTTGGTGATTAAAGTAGGATAATTGAATAGTTTAATGATTTATTGGAAATATATGATGAAGGTTATTTAGTAATTATGGAATGAATTAAAGGGTAAAATGGTCAATTAACAAGCAAGATTTTTATTCTTCCTTTATAAGATAAGGGAACCACGTGGAAGAGGAGAGATTTCTCCAGAGTTATCTTCTTCTCTTTTCTTCTCCTTTTCGCGTGAAGCCATAAGCAAATGTAAGATCTCTTGTTGGTTGATATTTAGCCGAATTTAAGATTGGGTTTTGATCAGTAGATGATAATTAAGCTTAAGGAAAACTTAATTTATCTTAAAACCATAAGATAAAGGAGTCAAAAGAGATTAAAGATTAGAAGTTTTAAAGGAAATCTTGAATGAAAGTTGATAAGTTAAATTAGAAGTTAAATTTGACTTGTCAAGGGTCTAAGTAAGAAGTTAGAAGCCATATAATTAGAATTAAAACATGTTGCAAAGTTGGTTTAATTCTTGAGTTATATATGAGGAATAGAATTTTGAAGTTAAAGATGGTTTATATGGATATAAATTGGTTTAAGCATGTGTATATTAGTTAAGAACATGAAAGGGGATGAAAGATGAAGCATTTGAGTTGATTTGAGTTGATTTTCGGGCTTAAAAATGAATTCTGGGCTATGTGCATCGATGCACATTCAATGTGCACCGATGCATCAAGGGTAAATTTCCAGAAATTATTCAGTGTGTATCGATGCACAGGAAGTACATCAATGCACCCCTTAAAAATGGAAACATCGAATGCAATTAGTGCATCGATGCATAAGGAGTGCATCGATGCACATGTTAAGGGATGCATCGGTACACTGTAGAATGCATCGATGCACTTCAAGGGGAAATTGAAATAGACATTTCTTTTGGTCTAAGAAATGATAGATTAGAGTATATCAATGGGGTACTGATATGTATCAATGTATGGTTATGTAGATATCGAACTTGAACAAGTTCCAGAACGATTATCAAGTTAAGATTTGATCGAAAGAAAGGAAAACATAAAGCGGTATTGACTAGTGAGGCTAGGTGAGTGCACATTATTTCGTATATGATGTTTAATGGGAAATAATACTTGCGACAAGTCTATTTCCAATAGTAAAATGCATGAATTCCTAGATAGAAGTATGTTTTTGGCTATGGTTCGTATGTGTGCATGAGTCGATATGGTGAGATATTATTGTATATGTTGCATGATTATATGTGTTAACATGCTTTTATATGTAATGATATAAGAAGTATGTGCTATGTGATGTATATATATGAACATATGTGAAACTGAACTATGTGATTGCATGAGAATGATATGAGCCATATGACATGATATATGTGAACATGAGAAAACAAATTATAAGATATGAGCTATGTGATAATATGAAAAGAAGCTATGTGACTACATGTATAAGTGAAAGAAGCTATGAGCTTATATGACATATGATATGAAAAGTGTATATATGAAATGATACAAGTGAAAATGCCCATGCTATGTGTATTGAGAGCTAGAGGTATAGTTGGCATGCCAAGAGTCGAGGGTCTACGCGGTCCTTCGGGACAAATTCTACGCGCCCCTAGTGGGAATTATACGAGCTGTGGTGACAACATAGTGCACAACCTCAATAGACTCACATATCTATAGTTCTCACATGCGTACATGGGCTAATAAAGAAATAACAACAAACATATTACATGTGACTTGTATGCTTTTGTGCTATGAATTGTATTATATGATTTATATGATGATATGTGGATTTTATGATTAAATGAGTCAAATGTTGGTTAAAATGCTAGGTATAATAGGATATGTATTAAGTGATATAAATGATAATAATATTGATAATGAAATGAGGATAATGATGGAAATGAGAAGTGATGAGTATATGTGTGTATATGTTCTTACATGTAATAATATATTGCATATGTGTTACAGGGATTAGTTACATGAATAAGTGTATGAGTGATAGCAGTAATATTTCATGCATGATTACAAGTTATAGTTTACATTATATGTTTATTTGCCTCACTAAGTCATAGACTTAGCATTTGATTGTTTCACACGTAGGTTACAGAAGTGAGAAGAGTAAAGAGCAAGGTGGAGCAAGACAAGTCAGTTACTTCTTACCGAAGATCAGATCAGAAAATATGTTTTGAATTAGATGTATTCAGTACATTGAAAATAGTTGGCAGGTAATTAAGGTTGTGAATTGTATATGCTCTGATCGGTTTTGCAAAGACATTTAAGCTCTGAATAGTTTTGGAAATATTTTAAATAAGTTACATGTATAAAAATTTTAAATTACTCACTATTTTATACAAGTAAATGTTTTGAAAAGTCAATGTGACACTTCTGACTCGGATTCGGGTCGGATACGGGTTGGGGGTGTTACAAGTTGTAAGTTTATCTCTTTGTCCTCAAAAGAAAGAACAAATTAGTGAATTTTTTTGGAAAACCCTTGGTGAGGTGCTAAGGTAGTGGATGTAGACTTGGTTAAGAAAATCGAACCACCATAAATCGCTGTGCAAATCTCTATCTTTCAATCTCCTTACTCCCTAAACAGAAAAACCATTCTAACCCTATTGCAAACAATTTCAGTTGTCGATTAGAGCTTCTGAAAATCCTAACAGGGTCAAAGCCTAACCGTGCCTGCAAGCATGACCCAATAAGCAGACCCGGAGGGAGGCCCAAGCATGCAAGCCCAGCAGGAATATAGTCTATTAGGGTTTCATCTTTAAGTTAAATGCATAGCAGATTGAGGGCCGTTAGATCTGACTCACTAATCTAACGGTCTGGATTTCATCAGAGGTCCCCAACGGGCGTTTCAACTGTGCCAAGATTTTCAGCCAAGAAAATTGGGACTGACCTATCCCGAAATCCTTGGCTAATAACGAGCAGTAACCACGATAATCAGAAACGGCCACCGGTGGAGGGGATATAAATACCCCTACCGAGCCACCAAAGGAGGGGAACAGAAATTAACCGGGGAACTAGAAAAACACGAAACAACACAACAAGAAATATACCAGAGCAAACAAGCAAAAAAGGTCCAACGACACAACAATAGAACTAAGCAAGCAATATACCAAATCCAAAAAACCAAGAAAACAAGGCATTACTCGGCCAAACTCCAAAAGTGACCGAACCAAAAAACCAAAACCGAAACCAGAAGGTAAAATTTTGCCTCATCGAAGGTCGATGGGAACACCAGAGGGCCTCGTCGGAGGAGAAGAAACGTTGGAAAGCCGAGAAGACGCGTCAGAAAAGGTAAAAGTCGAAGCTTTTTATTCAGATCTACGACAACTCGGCTCGATTCAGGATAATCGAGCCTTGGATTTGCGTTCACTAGATCGGGGGGTCATTTTGAGATAAGTTTGGTTTTTCCGACCGCTGCGAGTGGTAGTTGGTGCGACGGAGAGGCCATCGGATAATGGTCAGTCATCGGGTCCGGTTGAGGGGTTGAGAGTGTTTGGGAGAGGGTTTTTGTTTTTTTTTTGTTTAGGCTTTGAATGATATTTTTTTTGGGTTTTTTGCTATTTATAGCTGGGGGACCTTTGTGCAAATAGCCAATAGTTAAATCCTTTCCGCTGTCCTCTAACTTTTGAAGTGCAATTCATTTTGGTCACATGTTTCAATTTTGTCTCTAAATTTTTAATTTATTCAATTTAATCCATGTTTACATTGTTTATATTTTGTAAATTAACCCTCTAACTTCTTATATATTTCCTTGCAATCAGTAATTAACGTCAATTAAGCGTTTAGTTTTTTTTTCAATTTAATCCTTTAATTTGAATTTTCATTTTCATTTTTTCCTTTTTATTTTATTTTATTTTCATTATTATTTTATTATCCCTTTTAATTATTTTTTATTTTATTATTTTTTAAAACCCTTTTTTAACATTTTTCTCCTTTTATTTGATATTTCTTTATTTATTTTTATTTTTCAATTTAACATTTTTTTACTTTTTTTAGTAATAATCTCAATCGATCAAAGGTAAACAATTCGAATTGAATTTTTAAATTTCGATTTAAATTTTAATTTTCACTATTAAGACAACCGATAAATTATTTAATACCAAAAGGGCAATACAAGGGTGCTAATCATTCATCGACTGTAACCGACTCCCGAATCCGACACATTTATGGTAAAATGCAGATCAGGTAAGATGGTGTATAATTGGCCTAAATATTTTTTTAAAAAGATCGGTGGCGACTCTAATATTTTTTCAAGTCGAAGCCCAATTCCATGCCCACACGAAAGATGACTGCGACACTAATAAATCTACTTATACATTATTGTTAAATTACATTAGGTTAATATTTATTATTAAGGTTTATTAATTAAGATTAAATAATTTTTATATGTTAATATATTTAATTTTTTTAATTAGTTCAAAAAAGTTATGTAACACAAATTAAAAATATTTCATTGACGTATAAATGCATTATTTATTGAATATGATTAATTAAATCTATAATTTAAGTTGAATTTAATATAAAAATATGAAGAAAAAAATATTGTTTGGTACCATAAACATGTAAGATGTGAGGTTTACATAATTTAAGATATGAGGGAAATAAAAATTTATCTATGGTTCGATCATACACAAGAGGTGGTTCAAGGCCAAGTGTCAACCCCAGGACTGCTGAAGACATTTTCGCAGAATTTTTTGGGTTTTCTAGTCCCTCTGGGGGAATGGGAGGAGGTGGCGGCGGCGGCGGCGGTGGCGACAGTGGGATGGGAGGTGGTTCAAGGGTATTTGGTAGCATATTTGGTGATGATGCATCCAGTTCCTCTGGTGGAAGTAGACCAATGGATCAAAGTACTCATAAAGCTCCTCCTGTTGAAACTACACTACCTTGTAGCCTAGAGGATTTGTATAAAGGAATCCCCAAGAAGGTGAAGATTTCAAGAGAAATTTCAGATGCTAATGGGTTCGTCTCTTTTCCTAATGTTGCATTTTGTTCCCTTTTGTCTTGTGTCCCTGCCATTTGGAGGAAATCCTGCAAAATTTTGGACACGAACACATTGTTGTTTTGTGTTTGCGAAAATGATGAAAGCTTACAAAGTTTACCGTGTGGTATTGTAGGAAGACAGTAACAGCGGAGGAAATCCTGACTATTGAAATCAAACCTGGATGGAAAAAGGGGACCAAGATTACCTTCCCGGAGAAAGGAAACGTACGGCCGTATGCAATCCCTGCGGATCTGGTTTTCATAATCGACGAGAAGCCCCACAAAACATTCACACGCGACGGCGATGACCTGATCGTCACGCAGAAGATATCGCTTTCCGAGGCATTAACGGGCTACACAGTCCGTCTGACGACACTGGATGGAAGGAATTTGACCGTCCCCATCACCGATGTGATTAATCCAAGCCATGAGGAGATCGTTCCTATGGAAGGTATGCCGATATCGAGAGATCGGTCCAAGAGAGGCAACCTAAGAATCAAGATCATTATCAAATTCCCGGCGAGGTTAACTGCAGAGCAGAAATCTGGAATCAAGAAGTCGTTGGCACTTGGCACTTGGCACCGTGAGGCTGGACTCCGACGATTGATCACTAACAAAATTTGGGCTTTTGATGACAATTTGATTCTAAATAGGCTAAATTAGATAGGAATAATTACTATAATACTTATTCTCTCTATATGTTTTAATTAAGTCTCTAATTTTTATATATTTATATCGGATCACGTTGAATATAAATTTTTATCATTTTGTCTAGCACTTGGTTTGGCCGAATCATATTTGGAACCAGAACCTCTGCCACTGTCTACCGAATCCTTATTCAAGACTCCCTCTTCCCCGTTTATAGTTGTTGCAAAGTTTTCTCCTTTCACGGACGCCTCGTGGTTTAGTTCTTTTGACTCTTCTTTATTCTTGATGAAAAATGAGGTTCTTGAAGGAAGCTTCTGCATATTTGACATAGATGGTTAGCTTGCATTTCACAAATTAAATAGCAGAGTAAGCTGCAAGAGCATGATATAATGACATTTGAAGTAAGACCTAGATCGGAACTAAAAGTAAAGATTGGTCTGTCTAACGTTTAAACTACCACTACCTTTTATATTCCCTTTCTTTTTCATAATAATCCTTGAGTGAACAAAATTGTAAAAATAAAAGCAGAAAAGAAAGGTTGGTATGTCTCAGCATTTTATTTTTTTCTGGTAAGAACGATTGGTCGGTCCACGCTGAAGCTGCCCAGTCCCTATGATGAAAATCTACCATTCAATCCAAATCAACCTATTATATTCCCCTTCTTTTTGAAATGCGTGATACAAGAAATCTCTTCTACCATTACTCGAATCTTGATCATTCCACACCAATGTATTCCGTCTCGGCTTCCACCACAACGGGTATCTGAGTATATATCGGATTATTCATACTATTACATGGCTGCATTGTGCTTTCTGTTGGCTAACATGAGGCGGGAGACATACAAATTTCATTGTGTATGATTGTATTAAGGCATTGTCTGTGGAGGAAATTCTGAAAATTAAAATCAAGCCTGGTTTGGTTGGGAGAAGAACAGAATGAACGTAACCCCCGCGGATGTCATCTTCATAATTGACGAGAAGCCTCACGGCAGCAATGACCTGATTGTCACGCACAAGATATCACTTGCTGAAGCATTAATGGGCTACACACCATCTCACAACATTGGATGGAAGGAACTTGACGATACCAACTACGAGGAAGTTGTCCCGAAGGTATGCCAATACCCAAAAATTCTTCCAAGAGAGGCAACTTGAGAATCAAGTTCAATATCCTTCCAAGAGAGGTAACTTGAGAATCGAGTTCAATATAAAACTCCCAACGAGATTAACCGCAGAGCAGAAATCCAGAATCAAGAAGATGTTGGCGCCATAAACTTGATGGTGATGGACATGGCAAAGTGATTTGTAATACTTTGTTTTGTGGTTTTTTCTGCAATGCATCTGGTGTTTAGAAGAATAAAAGTTGTAATCCATCTAGCATTGCAAACAAGGCGAAGTTGGGTAATGTTAAACTATTTTGTATTGCTACCCCATATTTATAAGGTTTCATAAATTAATACCTTATTAATAAAAATTCAGTTATACAATGAGCCATAACATTTTCTAATCAACAGTAGCATTTGAGATATAAATTAATCTCTAATTTTCTACAACTACTTAAACATTAGGGTGTGAGGGGAAGGGGTCTACTGACTCTCCCTGATACAGTCGGGCTTCAACGCTCATGCATCAGCAGCTCTCAATCGCTAGAGTCGTCGGAAACTGCCGAGTCTGAACCTTCATCATTTCTAGTTCTGTCTGCGACTCGTTCATCTGATGCATCACTCATCCCTAGATCACCGTCTGAATCTTCATCGTCTTCCTCTATCAGCTGTTCAAAGCCATTACCACCATCATAATCAACGACATATTTGTCGCTAGCTACAGCCAGTTCCCTGTCCCACCCATTGTTAGCTACTTCCGGTTCCCTGTTCCACCCATTAGAGGCACCGTTATTATAATCCAACTCCCAGTTTCCTTGCTCGTATCCCTCGTCTTGTACATTGTCATCAGACTCCTCAGCACTGTTACTATCAGGAGGATTTGCCATTGGCATAGTTCTTAAGCTGAACCTCCATTCTTCATCCATGTCTCTCACAGACACAGCACTGGTATTAGATTTAACAACATTAGCCATACAAGCCGCCGTCATATTATCAGCATCTCTCCTACCTGATCTCTTTCTAACCGTTCGTCGGCCATGTCCAGAACTCTGACCATTTGTTCTTTGGCCTTGCTGTTTGAGATGGAGGGTTAAATTATTTTTCTGTCTAGCACTTCGTTTGCCCGAATCATATTTGGAGCCAGAACCTCTCCTCTGCCACTGTCTACCGGATCCTTGTTCACGACTCCCTCTTCCCCGTTTATAGTTGTTGCTCCTACTGTTGGCCACGTCTGGGAATTTTTCTCCTTTAACGGACACTTCATGGTTTAGTTCCTCTAGTTGTTTGTTCTTGATGACAAAAGGGGTTCTTGAAGGAAGCTTCTGCATATTTGACATAGATGATTAGCTTGCATTTCACAAATTGAGAGTAGTTTTAACTATTTTTAAGTCACATTAAATTATACCCACAAACCATGGAGGATTAGTCAATTAATAGATTGGACACAGATGGTTATACCAAAAAAAAATACTCACTATATATGCCCTAGCTTCTTTGTTCTCGGAAGGTTCTACTTTCACCGGCTTTACATACATGATGGACACGTCAAGCTCCAAAAGTCGTAAAGCCACAGCAGCAGTGGTTTGGGGTATCCATGGAAGGACAGAATCAGTAGCATCACTCTCTGATTGAAGAGTAGAACCTAATAATTCCTTCATCGTCTCAAAGTTAGATGATAAGTAATCTCGCTTTACAGCGCTCTCAAAGTGAGAGACCATCTGCAACACCAACATGACATTTGAAGTAAGACCTAGATCGGAACTATATCTAGAAAATGTATTTAACCAATGACCGACTCGTTAGCATCAAATGAATCATGATTTTAGGAACATGTAAAATAGCTATAGCATCTGCTAGGAGAAAGCCGAATCATAATAAAAACTGCACAGAAAGTTGAAATAAATGAAAACCTTTAGGAGTTCACCCACAGAAGAAGACGCATTCAGCTTACTGCCCCAAATCTTTCTATGGCCTTCTGTCCAAATTGATTCAAGGGCTTCAGGTGGAACACATACCTGTCATGTAGGGGAAAATGTAACAAAAAGATCAAGACATATCTTAAGACAACGAAGACAAAAAGGAAATAAATAACAATAATTTATACAGGAAATTCATTAGTGAGTTGCAGCAGGCTCACCTCAACTAGAGCACAAAAGAACTTTATCAAGTTGATTCCCGAGGGATGAGAGGAATCGAGAGTAACCTTGGTGTCCAAATTCCGGTTTTCTTTGCACTGAATTTCATGTTCTGAGAAATCGAAACAATTGTTAATGGATCCAACATTCTGGTGGCAGTAACCACAGTGCATCTCCTCTGGGATATGGGAGCCAAGACAAGCATCGCAAACAGTCAACAGCTCCTCGCATCTCTTCTTCCCATATTTCATTGCAAACAAAGTTGAGGAATTATAACATTCTTTCCACATCCAATTCTGGAAATCTAGGTACCTCTTCAGGGCAGACTTCTTCTCATTTTCGTTTCTCCCAAGCTGAATTTTGAAAGAAGATAATGTCTCTGATGCATCAGAGTTCAATCTACAGATCACACTACTAGGACCGTCAGAACTGGCAGGAAAGTCGGGACTGGAATCGACTTCTGAAGCTTCATTTTCAGTAGAGCTTCCACTTCGGCCAATAGCTCGGGTACCCTGCAAACTCCTGTGAGCGTTTTCTTTGAAGGAAGATTCAATCTTGTGCAACATTATCCGTAAATGTGATTCCCTGATTCCTCGTGTATCTAAAGATGCCAAAAGAGCATCAAAGGCCTACAAAGCAGTTGATTGAATACATAAGGAAAAACAATCAGATGTAAGATAGAATGTTAGAGCATTTGTCCTAGTAGTCTAATAATTCATCCCAACATATATCCCCAGGGTTCTCTTTCTAAATAGCAAGGCATACCTCTTCAGTATCAATCAGCCTCCAACGTCCATCATGCAATTCGACAAATATCCGGCCAGAACAAGGATCATTTTTAGAAGCACAAGCAACAAATTGCCAATATCTATTACGTTTACGATCTTGGCCAAGAGGTAAAGACCTGTAGACATACATCTCTTCTGCTCTGTGGGCAATGTATGATTTCAACTGTGAGCGTGATCTCTTTGAAGCATATCCATGCTGCTGAGCAAAGAAGTTATCTGGACCCACAGAAGCCTCGTGAAATACCAAGGCCCTCTCAGCTGGATAAATATTGAGGTCATTCTGAACGTTCTGTGAACATAGCAAGGGTTTTTTGTCTTCTGTAATGCTCAGAGATGCCTCATCGTTTTTATTATCAGCAGTAGGAAATGGACTTGGGCTGACTTCCAAGGCAGAAGTGGGCAGTTGAGCTTCGGCCTTGGTTTCCATCACAGACTGAAAGTCCATTTGAATAATGATTTCTTCCTTCAGATGACTTTTATCCAGCTGAGCCTCGGTCCACATTTGCTTTTTAAGAGCATTTGCTGCTTCCAAACGATCCTGTGAATTCATAAATCAAATTAGGAGGAAAATGAAGGTTGCCTTTATGATCAAAGGAACATCAAAATCAGACAAAACTGCATTTTATAAATTACCTCAAGCACAGCACGAATAGAGTTGCCTTCATTTGCAATACCAATTAAGGTAACAAGAGCATTGAGGCGTTCCTCAACACTAAGATGAGAATATTCACCTTCTGAAAGACCCTGAATCCATGACTCACCAGACTCACTTTCATTGATTTCAAGATTCTGTTGATCAGGATTGCCTGTCCCATTCTCGTCACTAGCAACATATTGCCCACTGCTACTTGGATCATTGGCATCCTTCATGGTATTTGAAGGGAAAGATGGAAAATCCTCATCAAATTCATCTGTAGCACCAGGTGCAGCGTTAGTAGAGGTGCGAACTTTTTCACTTCCGGAATAAGTGTTTACTCCATCCTTAGGATAATCAGTGTCTTTGTTAGCATTTGAGGGAGTAGCTATATCATCAACTTCAGGGTCCTCGTCGAGATCACATTCAGAATCTTCATCTCTTTCAACATCATCTTTTTCCATATCATCCCTTTCAACTTCGTCGGTGTCTTCACCTAAAATCCCATTTTCAAACTGCCGGATCTTTTTCCTTGCTTCTGCAAGTATAGCCTCAGCATCAGCAGGATCTCTCCTATAAGCAGGTCGTACACAATAAGTTGAAGGAGCTATTCTTTCAAAAAGCTTTGTATCCCTTGTCAAAGCAACAGAAATAGAAGCCTCTGGTGTCCTGCTGGTTGAAAGGTCCCGAAGTCCAGATTTCTTATAGGAAACACATATATTAGGAAGATGCAAGTAAAATATACAAACCAAATTGACACCTAATAGAAACACAATCCAAACTCACCTGAATTTTATCTGCAAGTTCCAATACTGTTAATCCTTCGCCTCCCTCAAGTGAAAGAACATGAAAAGCTGCAAATTTTACAGTTCCAGGTGTTAAACGATGCCTTGATCTTCTTGGATGTAAGAGACCTTTTTCTCGCATCAATGCAAATGCATTCTCAGCTGCAGAACCATTTCGTAGTGTAGAAACAACATTTTCACAACCTGTACCCTGCAGGTTTGACTACAATAAGCAAATATCAATCAGCCGTGTTTCCTGACACCAAGCTGATCGAAAATATCATGGGCCCATAAAGATGCAATTCAAACTCATTTTAAAGCACCATTGCGAGAAATATAACCCAAATAATCTTAATTAAAAGTATTTCCTATTCTATCACTTATTAGCAATCTTTTATGCTCAACATCTTAACAATGGGATTAATTATCAGGAACCATGGGCATACTTATTCTGAAGAGGGGAGCTCCAAGTAACATATCTAGCCTTTAAAGCATTCCCATTATTACATATATAATATTACATACACATGCACACTAGATACTATCATGGGAGAAAGAAATTGTTTATCAGTGCAGAACAGAGAAATGCCAACAAACCTCATCATTATCACCCATGTATGTCCGGCCAGCAGTTAATTTCTTTAACTTTGGTCCAAAGCCAGCAGATATTGCTAATTGCCGGAAAATTTCAGGCCATGTTAATGGATTCAAGTGATGCTGCCAATTTCGAATGTCAAAACCCCAGGAATATGCCTGGAAAATATCAAATGCAAAAGGGTTCAGCAATAACAAAAAACAAGCACCACAACAAAGCTATAACACCACTTACCCCTTCAACGATTTGAGGGTGTCCACCTTCGGGGTTAGCAGCAGAGTACTGATTCATCCCCGATCCAGTCACTGGTGTTCTAGCAACATCTTCAATGTCTTTTATGATTGCTTTCAAAAGAGCAACATGTATCTCACCCAACAACCTTGAATCCTAATGTCAACATGATACGAATATTAAAACTAGAAAGCTGAATGAAAAATGAGATTAGAAAACAAAATGTTCCAATAGAAACTCACATAGTCGTGAAAACCTTGGATAAACTCATCGAGTGTAAAAGGCCATAGTGAAAGAACATCAGCAAAAGTAATCAAAAATCTCCATGCCTGATAAAGGAAATTGTGTTATTGGATCTTTTACCCTTTGAAATAAAGTACATTAGGTATATTTTACCTTTAATCATTTAGAAAACAAACTGCAAATTTTAATCATGAGAAGAAAAAAACATAAGACTTGTAATTTAAAGAAGAGGAAAGTGTTTCATACCATGAAAAGATTCCCAACATTCTCCTCAGAATCAACCCACGGTTGAATGGAAAATATTCTTTTCAATTGCACAGATTTGGGGGGGAACAAGCTTAAAGAGCCTAACACAGAAATATTAATGTTATTATCAGCTCCAAGGTGCTACAAAGTCAATATTGATGGCAAAAGGACATGACCCATAACACAATGAAAGATCAAAAAAGATTTATGGAAAAACTAACATAAACAGTAAGAGAAACATAAGTTTGCAACTTCAAGCAAAAGAAATAATATTAATACACCCACAATCATATCCTCCTAACTAAGAATAAATCGAAGTTAATTAAAGAGTTCAAAAATCTTTTTCCAACCAATCATATTCAAAATTTCATAATGTTGGTGACATCCAGTAGTTTTACCAAAATGGTTGAATTTCAAGGGGAAAGGGAGGATAAAGGCTCAAGAGAATCCAAAAATATATATATATATTTTTCAAATGTGAAACAACTTAACATAACTAGTTCCAGTTAGACCCTATTGTTTTCAGAAAAGTAATGTCAAAAGTTAAGGGTTTTTTCTCTCAAGTCCGAAAGCTCACAATAAAAGAATAATTTATATAAACACAATCAGACAAATACAAAGTTCAAGAGACATACTTCTAAATGACTCGAGATTTTGCAAACTCTCGTGATCAAGATGAATAGTCGAGGATATTCCCTTGCTAGCAGCAGCAAATTCCATGAGTTCTAGTTGCTCATCATCGAGGAGATCCATAGATTCCTTGGCAATTTTCCGTGCAGCTGCTTTCTCTCTGGCAACTCTGCGTCTCTCTTCCTCTTTCTCTCTACGAAGCTCTTCCTTTTGTCTCTTCTTCTCAGCCTATAAGGTACCCCAAAGTTAAAACCAAGGAACCAAGAACTAGAAGAAAAAGAGAGTTCTCATGATTTTTATTAGTCACAACATTTTATACTCAAAATAACTCAGATTAATGGGTTCTCAAAACTAACTCGTAAATATTCTTTCTGCAAAAACTTTTCTCTTCTTTCCATTTCACGTCTTTGCTCACGCTGCATTCTCTCTTCTTCTCGCTGCTTCTCACGTAATAACCTCTCTTCTTCCTTCCTTCTTTCACGTTCATGTCTTTCCATTTCTTTCCTTATTCTTTCTTCACTCTGAGAAAAACAATTTTTAAATATGAATGAAAACGATGGTTCTTCAGGTCAATCTTTCAAAGAAAATTAAAAAAAGAAATAAACCTTCCGCCTTTTATTATCTAGTTTCTCAAGCTCTTTACGAATTCTGTTCTCATGTGCTTCAGCCTCTCTTGCAATTCTAATTTCATCACTCTACAAAGACGAAATATGACACAAAATTAGAAATCCTGAATGTAGATAACATGCAACATATTAAAGTAAGCTAGGCACCTTGCGCTTCCTATCATTTCGTAAATCAGCATCATTATTCAAGGTTTGCCCAGCAGACAACATATATGAATCTTCATGTCCCAAAACCAGATGGGAACTAGACTGAGCAGTTATTCTGCCATTTGTAAATGGTTCCCTTTCAGCAAGGGAATCCTCAACCACTTGAGATGGTGAAGGAATAATTGCAGTCTTGTCTTGTTGAGGTAAAACATGAACTCGAGTTCCATGACCTTGGATACCATGAACCCTGGACAATGGCTCCTCTCCATGGGCAAATGATGCAACTCTACCCCTTGCACCATCGACGGGGGATTCATGAAAAAGAGATTGAGTAACTTGTCCATATGCATCAGATCTAAGACTCGAATGCTCTGGAAGAAACTGATAATCATGAAAAGCCCTTGAAGCAGCCTGAGGTCATGATTCATATGATATCAATAAAGCATAACATAGCATCAAAATTCTAAACAAAATAAAAATTATTCATAATTAGTTTTTTTAAGTTTTAAATATAGCATAACATCAAGGTCAATAAATAAAAGATCAAAGATAATCATCCCAGCAGCATGACACTTTAAGCATGCTAGATTGATAAACCAACTATATATATAACAGCCAGCATGACGAAGAGGCTACATGGAGACATCCAAAAACCAACCTGTCATAGTGAAGAGAAAACTAGCATCATAAAAGTGAGAGTTCACAAATATGTATAATTGAGAAATTTCAATCAAATGATTCGGAAAAGTTGGAGTACTCATCCTGCCACCAAGAAATTGTTACAACTACATACAATGTAACAATTTCTTCAACCACACATACTATTTTAATATCTAAGTATACCGGAAGTTAGATGAAAAAGGAGTTTTGAGAAACCAACTTTGTTTGAGCGGCTATCATGTAGCTCATAAACCTTGTTCTCATAAGGCTGCACAGACCTCTTCTGTGGCTCGGGAATTGCTGTTCACAAAAGAAAAAAAAACAAATCAAAACATGTATTTCCATTCTCACCCACCAGTATTAGGCCTAGAGCAAAATAACGCTACACTAACTATCAAAATGTAAAATAAACTAAACAACATCTAATTTCATAACTCCGTGAATGAAAGAGCGGATTCACAAACTAAGAACTCTATGGAAGCAAAATTATACCTCCGAATGCATCCGGAGGCAATGGATCAAACTCTAGTCCCAGAATAGGACCATCATCCCTCAATGGTTCCCCCAACTGCGCCTCCACACAAGCAATTGATCTTAGCTCCATTATCGACTGCTGTGACTCATAGTACCTCCTCATCGTAGGCGGCACATCATCCACCATGCCCCGAGAATAACCTCCCGCCAATTTCCTCTCCATGCAAGGACTGGATCCATAACCCGACCCAAACTCATTTTCTGGATCCGGCCCCCCCCGTGACTCATCCATTGGAGATCCTGGTGGTAAGGCAGCACCTTTTCGAGGTTTTTTCGTAGGAGTATCCTTCTTTTCTTTCAGTCTTCGGTGACAAAACCACATCTGTAACTGCCGATCTGTTAATCCTAATTTCTCAGATAATTCAGCTCGCGTCGCTTCAGATGGATACGTTTCCACTAAGGGAAGAAAACAGAAAAATCACCAAAAATTTCCAAAAGAGAAAAAAAAAAGCTAATGAATCCAAAAAAAGAGGTTAACACAGAGATGAATAAACATACGAGCATATGCTGTTTCGAGAGTTTCAAGCTGAAACGGAGTCTTCATCTGTCGTTTAGGCTTAGCGTTACCTTCATTGGAACTATTACCAGTTTTGTTCGGATTTTTCACCTGATCGTTTTCTCCTTCGGAACCAGGCTCCATTCGAAGAAGACCCAGAAATCAAAGACCACGAATTTAGGGTTTAAACAAAAAAAAAAGGGTTAATTGTCCCCTATTTTCTTCTTCCACTGCTCCTTATTCTTGCCTTTCTCTCTCTAAAATCACGAAATATCGTGAAAGACAAGAAAGGGAAAGGGTGAGAATTGTTCTCAAAGAAGAACAATGAATTAAAAGAAACTAAAAATAATAATAATTCTATTAAGAAAACAAAAGGGAATGATAAAGTGAAATTAGGAACAGAACAATAACATAAACGTAGACAATAACAACAACAGTCCTTTCTCATCAGGCCAATTACAAATTCCATAATAAATTTCTTTTTCTTTTTTCGGCGCTGACAATTAATCCTTTTCTTTTTCAATTTTCGATTTTTTTTTTGAATTTGATGTGGGATTGTTGAGGTAAGCAAAATAAATATTTTTTTTTTAAAAAAAATGGGATTTTGGTGCAATTTCAAGTCTTTAATTTCCCTTTTGGTTTTTCTGTCTCTAATTAAATGTTTAGTACTTCTCTTTTGAGTGTGTTCGTGGTGTGGGTGGCTGAAAGGAATCTCTTGTGGTTCGGCAATCGAGCTTTAGGCTAAGGCTGTTCATCTATGTTGTTGCGGGACCCCCTTCCATTGGGCTCGGGGATTAGTCTATTCTGCCTATGAATTTGGGCTAAAAAGTTGAACTAATTTTGAATTAGTTATAGTTATATTTTAAACTATAATTCAATTTTTAAATTGTAAAGTATTTTGATTGAATTTTGCAAAGCATTGCAAGTCACTTAATCAGTCTAAATAAGTATTACGAATCCATTAAAGAATTTAAATGGTAAAAGAAAATATTATTTTTTTCTAAAAATTATGAATTTAAATAGTTACGTTTGCAGTATGTGCATGTAGTTAATGATTAAATTTTTTTTGAACATGTATATCATATAATCACTCTAAACTATTTTAAAAATATTAAAATAGTATCTTAAATTTAGCAGAAACTATTATCTAATATATGGGTAACTTACATCTAATGTGTTGTAATAAAATAAATATTTTTTAAACTTTTATTATACTTTGTTCTTTTAACGTGTTTGATGTAAAATGATTATACTTAATATATATTCACAGTTTAATTTATATATTTTATATGTATTACATGTAAAATATAAGTTAATATTTTAATATTTAAATTGACGGCTAAATTACCATAATATTTTGATTATAGTAATATTTCAAAGATTTAATCAAAATGTTTTAGAATTTAAAAATTAAATTAAAACTGAAACCATGATTTACATGTATGTGTGCGTGTGTGAAATTATGGGGAGCATCTACTTTCAAATATTGGAAGTCGAATATAATAAGTAAAGTCGATCAAAATATTAATGCAAGCAGCGAAAAAATAGGTAAAATATTGATGGTATAATCTTAGATTAGGTATGATAGCAAGCATGTCTAATTGTCTATACGTGCGGCGGTAATTTTTTTTTAGTAAACTATATATTTAGTATTTAAATTATTAGTTTTGATTCGTTTTAGTACTTAAACTTTTGTTTTTTTAAAAAAAAATCATGTCTAACGTTTAGTTTTTGTTACGTAAGGACTTTGAAAAATTAAAAGTTTATGTATTAAAACAAAACAAAACCGATACCTTAGATACTAAACGCATAATTTAACATTTCTTTTATAGAAAAAGTTATTCGTACTTATATAAATAATTTATTATTGCATTAATGATCAACCAATATGTAGAAAAATAATTAAATTGTAAAAAATGGTAGTAATTAAATCTTATTTCAAATCTTCATTCAATTAAAATAGTCTCTCAACTTCTAATTCGAAATTTAAAGCCTTAAAAGACATCTTGTCTGCATGCTGAAAATACAAATTCCATTCACATATATATATATATATATATATATATATATATATATTATTTTTGGCAAATATTATGCTAAACTCCCAATTTAAAAAGCTTTTGATGAAATAAAGCTTAATTTGAGAGAATTTATAAGCAATGATAGTACACGTTATTATCAGTCAACACAGGCTGATCCAAAGTTACAAATGATTTGTCTCTGAAATTAAAAAAAAAATGATGTTGGGAAAAGAGGGGGGGGGGGGAACTCCACAATAACCAAATTTAATCTCCAACTCCAGGACTTCATTTCCATGCCTCTTTCTTTTCTTCTCATGCTGCTTTCGCTTGCTGCAAACATAGAATCACATTTGGCGTTGTTGCAACATATCATGTCATCGCTGGAAAAACGACACAACCTCTGCCGACTTTAAAGAAAGCCTAAGATGCCTCTTCAACTTTCTAAAGAGCGAGAGCGTGTATGATGGTTTGAACCTAGGACCTTGGGTTCAAACCATCCATGCATGTACAATCCTCTCGCTATTCAGTAACTTAAAAAGTATTTTTGAGACAATTAAGACAATTCTCGACTTGTGTATTGTACTCACTCGTTTCTCTTCTTCCATGCTGCCATTGATGAACGAGTAGGCTGCCACCCCAGCGATTGCTATGGCTGTTCCAATACCTGTATGAGTTGAAATCTTGTTTCCTGCACCAATTATGGTTTGTTAGATATGATTGTATCGAGAAATGAAGACGAAAACCATGGAGTCTGCAGAATTATAGACTTACCAAAGACCAGGATTGAGAAGCCAATGACAAACACACGTTTCAGCACATTACCGACTGCATGAGTAAGTGGTGCCACCCGCTCCAGTGTGTTGGTAGCCAACTGAATCACCAAAAAAGAATGAGAAATTCATCAGCTTCTACATATTAGTAAAAGAAACCTCTAACCTCTTAATCGAATCCGTGTCGAATAACATAGCTTGAAACACTAAAAATGGAGAAAATTAATAATTTACCTGGTTATAGAGATGGTAGAACATTCCCACCCAGAAAAGATCTGAGATGAACTTAGTCAGACCCACTTTAGCAATAGCATCATTGAACCCATGCTTCATCAATTGAGGACCCTCCAACTGCAACAGGCATATAGGGGAACATTGAAGGCTTTAAACAGGCTGTGTGCTTAAGCTTTTAACCGTCTAAAAACACTACAGCTAGCTGCATGCCTTTGGAACAATTGTTTTACTTACAATGATGGCTGGAGGAATACAGACGAAGAGAGCAATGATGGAAATATAAATGGAAAACCAACAATTATTAGAATTCTAAGTTCTGCACAAACTGAAAAGTATGCGAAGAAAGGGGGAGAGTTTCAAACGAAGGTCACCATGGCTTTCTTGGAATAGATGCTCCTGTAAGTGGAGGAGATGTTGGAAATCATTGCACTAATGAAACCCGTCCAGTTAAATGACAGCTCAGTCAGGGATGCCATGGATACACCTGCATTCGGCTTGCAAATAATTAATGACTCCCAAACATGGTGAAATTTTAACAATTGAATTCAACGTGCCAATGTAAATTACAGAGCTTGTAGTTTGGTGTATATGCACATAGAGCTAGAGAAAACTAAGAGAATACAATTAACACTTTGAATTGGCTTTGAATAAGGTGATCAAACAGAGAATAAAGAAATTACCAATAACAACAGGAGCAAGAGACAGCCATGGAGTGATTGGTATTGATTGCCCAAGTATGAACCGGGAAGCAGCAGCGTAGAAGAAGGCTCGAGAGTTGAAAAACAAACAAATTGTGCCTTATGAGCCTAATAAGCAATATTGCACTTAAACAATGGATATACATATATATATAATATGCATCCCAAGAGAATAGATTCATGATGCCATTACCTTTGATTGTGTGGGTAAAAGAGACAGCAACAGCTGCAAAGGAGACATTGTTAGTTACATGGCCCAGTGCATGACAAACAGCAACAGGGATCAACAACTTCAGTAGGTTTACATCAATAGGCTACGGGCATAAAAAACAACAATTGCGTAGTATTAATCAGGGTAAAATTGCAGTGAAATTCTCGCGTTTTCTTCAAAAGGAAGCAGATAACAATCTTAGGACACCATACTAAGGAAAAAGTATTTACTCTAAAAGTTACATTTTTTCCCTGAAAGAAAACTACTGCTCATGGACACTTCCCATAACCACGGGTTTCTTACACCATTTGCTCTTTAATAAGAGCCAATGCCATATGGCAATAAAGTTATCTCATGCAGCGGTTAATCACACATTTTCCCATGTAAGCAATCAAATGCAAGGATTTAAATTGCAGTTTTGTTTTCAATTGTGTTGTGTTTATTGTGATTGCCACATTAACAGGTGCTATTGCCACAATAACAGGTGCTATTGCGAGTATCAAGGTTGTACTATAACAGTTTTGGATGACACCTTTACCGCTGTACAATGATAGCTATACCGATAGCATACTGTTATTTAAATTCCTGATCAAATGTTAAAAACTTATATTTTATATATAATTATTCGATATATTAGGATGATTGATTTTAATTATCTTAAAAAACAAACAAAGATTAAGAAATCATCGCACACAGTTATATGATTAATATACTAGATAATTAATTGATGTATATTTTTAGAATTATAAACTGCAGGGTAATAAATATTAATGATTATATAAATATATAGTAGCAAAAAGAAACAGTAAGATTCGAGATAGTAGGGGTGAGGGTTTCGCTTACAGCCCGCTTAGGGAGGCCTACAGCCCAGCTCACCAAACAGTAAACCACCCCCAACGAACAAGTGAATGAGCGATACAAAACTGCACCAAAGTGCCATGAAAAATGAAAATACTCCTTCACAATAAAACCATGCTATAAGCAAGGATTAAGAATAAAAATAGATGTAAACGAGAGAACTCAAGTACTCACAAAGGATAAGGGAAGTAATTGTAAATCTTCTTGTTAAGAATGTTAAATATCACATTCAAGAAGTTCCTGGAATCAAAAGTAAAAAAAAATGGATATGATCGATCATGTAATTTCAAGAAAATAGAAGTAAAGTTTGTAAACTCAGACCGAATTGAAGTGTATTGTCGAAATGGTCTTAAAAACTCACAACCTGAAGAAGAAAAAACCAGTAACAAGTGCAGGATATTTCTCGAAGAATCCAACCGGAGCGATCTTCTATAAAGATGGTAATATTATTATATAACATATACATTTTATTCCACTTAACATAAACTTACAAAAGAATGTATTTATACAAAGCTAAGCAGCTAACTACCTAATCAATTTACAAAAAATTAAGTAACAAACTAACTACTAATCTCAACACTCCCCTTAAATTAGAGGAAGAAAAATATTTTCCATCCCCAACTTGGAAGAAAGTTTATCATGCTGCTGTGAACTTAAAGCTTTTGTCATAATATCTGCAAACTGTTCAGCAAATGGCACGA